GGGGGGGGGGGGCCTGCCCTTGCTCGGCGCTGCCGAGTTTGAATCAGTTCGAAAGTGGGAGCCGTAACGGTTCTAACCGTCGCGCCTCAGCGGCGCGCGCGGGAGGGGCACAAGCGGGGGGCGGGCTTGACTGGGCTGCCTGTGTGCCCGCAGCGCCTCCTGCCCGCCTGTTGCGACCCGAGCGGCCCCACTGCTGCCGTCCCTGCTGCTGCCCTTTCCCCGCGGGCTCAGCCCCGGCTCGCTGGAAGCCCCGCCCCGGCTGACACCTGCCGGGAGCCGGCCTCGGGGACGAGTCTCAAGCCCAGTTCAAAACTGTCCCTAGCGCAGAGCGGGCCGGGAGCAGCCTGGGCTCCTCGCCCCTCCCTTTCCCAAAGCCCCTTCGCATCCTCGGTAGCGTTTTTCTCCACATCCAAGCTGACAGTGCAGCCCCGGACGGTCGCGAAATTCCCAACAGGCCCCTTGTTTGCTAATAAAGATGTTGACAAACCATCAAGCAGCTTGTTGCATTTAACAGGATGCCACGTTTCGCAAAACAGCTTTATCCAGGGCTTTTAGGAATGCCCCATCTTGCAGCATTACCCAAAACCTAATGCCACTGACATCAGCCTTCCTCTCAGGCCTCTAATTTGTGGGCTGCTGTCTATTCGGTCTTGGCCACACTGTCAAGCGGAGGCCATGCTTAAAGTTTTCCTGTTGCTTTCTCTACAGCATCCCCACAAAAAAGGCTGTCTTGTCCATCTACGCGGCCTTCTCACTCAGGCTGTCATCATCCCACACTCTTGCCTACTACCGAAGCCTTTTCCTTGGCCTTCTCAGGAAAAAGGGTTTTTTTCCCACTCATGCCAGTTCAAAACTACGGTAAATATGATTTTACCAGCTCAGCATTTTGGCCGTGTCACCTTATTTACATCCCTCTACCAGCTCAACTTTATTAGCTGGACCACGCAAAAGCCACTTGTCTGCATTTTCATGGTTATTCATAGCCCATCCCCATATTACCCGTTAGCTCTTTGTCACTGTCAGACCTCAGCTCCCAAGACTCATTGGCCTGGTATCATTGGCAGAGTTTCCTGTTAAATTTCATGTTACATTCTCAATCAGAAATTTGCATGCTTTCTCCTAGGCTATAACTCAGACTTATAAGAGACTCCTCTAAGTTCTTCAAGTCTTTTCTGAAAACTATCTTTGGCCATTATACCTAAAAATAGGCATGCTGAAATAGGCATGCCGAAATAGGCATGCCATTATACCTAAAAATAGGCATGCTGAAATCACTGCCTATTGCTGACTGGGGTCGTTTCCTTGTACTTTTGCATCTGTTTTTCTATCTGTATTTACCTGTTGTCTCATCTTATATTGGAAGTTCTTTGGTGTCAGAGAACCAGGTGTCGGTGTTATCTTTGTACCACAATTAGCACAAGGGATCCCGAATATGATTGGTCCTGCCATAATGTATTTATCTGTAATAACAACAGCCACATTCAAACAACCATGAGTTACCCCTCTCCCAAATAATTACATCAGTGAAACACCATTTTTTCAATAATACATTCTGGGTGTTTTTTGTTTTCCCATTACTGAGTCTTTAGGGTTCGCTTCAAATTTGCAACCTTTCCCCAGCAACTATAAAGACTAGAAATGTTTTTGTCTCTTAATTCTAGCAGCCTGTTTCAACAAAAATCTAAAATATCACAAAACTTAAAGAAAATCTTCTGACCTGATAGAACTATAGCTCTGTCTCCTTCGTTTTCTGATCCTTACATTGAGCCAATGTTAATAGTTCATTTTTATTGTAACATCTTCCTTTGCAAATAAAGAAATATAGCAGTTACAAATTCTCCTATCCCTTTCTTAATTCCAGCAGAAAAAAAATGATAATTTCAAAAGATTCCCATTTGTGATTGTATTTACCAAAATTGGCACATTTCTAAAATGGGATCTATTGATCAATTCTGGATATAAAGCTATTTAAAACTACCCCAAAATGGCTGCCAAATTTAAGATGGCCACCCAGTTCTTTGCTATTTAGAATTTGAGACCATTAGTTTGTTTTCAGTGAGGAAGCATAAAATAGTCCTAACAAATAATGTTAAAAATAACTTATTATTATTAACTGGTTTCGTTAATTTTATTACTGAGAAATTAATATTAAACTGTTAACAGATCCTCATCTCAGATGTCTGCACTTCAGTGGAAAGTTGTTTGTGCCCGGAACTGTGGGCACGTCTACATGTACAATTAATGTGACTGAATAAACTCTGGTGCAATGTGAGCCACAGCAAACTAATACTGACGGCACTGTCTACACATGCAGTTAAGCGCAGTAATTTACTCCTATGTTGGATAGTACCTCTGTCTGACAGGACTATCCAGCAGCTCTGTAAATTAGTCTACACTGGCCCAATTGCCGTGCATATGTAAACAATGACAGTTTACTGCACAGTAAAGCATATATGTAGATGTATCCTGTTTGGAGTTAACTAGTGCCAATTAGGAAATCAAAGATCAAACGCTCTGAAAGGACTGGGTTTTTTTGGTGGGAGTGGGGGTTGTGTACTTTTTTAAAAAGAAATACTCTTTCCATTTTAGTTGAATTGTGTTGCCTTGATGTGTAAATCTAATCAGAAAATAACTCTTAAAAAGCAGACTGTCTGATCATCAGTCTCCTGCAAACAGCCTGAGTGTTGGCAGTTGTTTGTTCTGCTCCAAGGTGTTTAAAGTTGCAAAGAGCTGCTTGTAGACTTTCCATTCTCACTGAGCAAAACCACCCAAGTGGCTTTCTGTTTCTGACTTATTTTCATAATGGAAGAATGTCTTTTTAACTAAATGTTCTTCTCCAAGAAAGGAAAAGAAGATGTCAGATACAAAAGATATAATTCATAATTTATAGACTATCATTTGAATGATTAAATTGATATTTTGCAAAGTTATTTCATGCATTTTAGTATATTTCTTGATGAAACCATCTAAATTAAAGCATTTGAAAATCATGTTAATGTTCAAAATGTTTAAATTATATAACAATGGAAACAAAATCCAAATCAGAAAAAAAATCTGATTTGGATAGTATACATTTCTTTAGATTATTCTAAACATTTTTATTTCTTTATTCATCATTTTTCTGGTTTGCTCCTGTTCCCTTTGACAAAATCATATGAACTTTCATAGAAGCAGGATTGGGTCCAACCCACCAGTGAAACATGCCTGTTTTTTGATGCATGAATCAAGTATTACATAAAGAATTTACAGAGTATTGAATTGTTATATGCTATGAGTCAGACATCTCAGCACTGCATTTGGCCTTAAAAACATTTTAAAATGCCAGAAGTGCAAGCAATTCTGATAATTTATATTGGGGCAAACTAATAGCATGTCTTTATTTATTCTTAAATTACAGGCATCTCGTGGAGAAAGGGATACAATAGTGTAAAGCAAAATTAAATACTGGTAGGCTCAAAGTAGAACTTTTTTTTTAAATGTGAAGAAAGTTTTTTTTTTACAAATATGGGCTTCTGATCGTGTCTCTAATAATTTCACTACCAATTTCTGCAGTAAAGGGCCTCTGATAGTTATCCCTGTCTGGAGGAGCCAGGCAGAATCAGTGGAGGAATCCCTTTAGTTTGAAAGATTCCACTTTTTTTAAGGCAGGCCTAGAACACTTGTTGATTGGATACCATACAGTGCTTCCTGCTTGGCTAGGAGTGAGTACAGTACATGTGAGCCAACTCCACCCCTATTGCCTGACATCAGGATTATTTGTAGCTGATGCTATGGCTCTTACAAGGAAGTACAAAAATGTTTACATTTCTGCCTTGTCAGCTATTTCACAGCTGTCCTCTCTACTTTGAGATATGGCTGCAGCTAGTGACAAAGCAGAAGTTTTTTGGGGGTGTGGGTCTGTAATGTGGCATAATTTAGTACATTTTAAGCATTAGTTCTTTATATATGGCTGAAATTCACTGGGTCCAGTCCTGCTTCTATTAATTAAATTAGAGAGGGAATAAGTACATTTTTTAATTTATCAAAGGACCAG